TAAGGACAGGCGGTTTTGAGTATGGGTATAAGAGGCTTAGTTAGGGGCCCTTATTGTTAATTGTTTGAGGGGGGTTGCAGTGAGCAGACCTCGACGGCTGTGAACGGAGAGGGGCATTTAGCGTCTCCCCCGGCACCTAAACTGTCGAGTTACTTGGGTATGAAGTCGTCATATGTCCTCTTGGAAAGCGTTTTGCGCTGCAGGTGGGCTCTGAACCTTGAACCCTAAGGCCCTAAAACAGCTCTGAATCCCAAAACCCCATACCGTATACGTCGCAGGCAGTCGAGGGCATGCTGTCCAAATGCCGGCTGCTTTCTCTTGGCATGCCGCGGCCTCAAGAGCATAGGCTCTTAGGGGTACTTAGAAGTAACTTTTAATTTTTGGTTATTATAATCCCTAAGAAACAGCTAAAATTACAATTTTTGCTAGGGTTCTAAGTTAGCATAGGCACATCAATAAAAGTTAAGAGTCCCATCTACGGGGATCCTGCTGATAAAGGATCCAACTCTGTAAGGTCCAGTTGAGGTCCGCCATACTGTGGGAAAGCCCATTTACAACTCAGGCAGGTGATCTTTGTTCGTTTCTGGGTTTAAGTAAAGTTTGATGTTTCGAGCACACGCCAGAGCAGAGCGTCTTCTGGCTTAGGCTTTGGGGCTTAGGGTTTAAACAGTTGAAGTAGGTCACAAAACTCTTTGTTACTTTGTTGGATGTATGTAGCCCTTCCATGCTTGAAAGGTTAGCCCACTACCACCCCAGCACCACCACCACTGGCACTGCCACCGCCACTGCCGCTGCCACTGCCACTGCCACCACAACGACAACTACCGCGACCACGACCGTACCACTACCAATAGCACTACCAAACCGATACCACCCCACTACCACCACTACCACTACTGCTGCTGCTGATGCTGGTGCCCGTGTGAAGGGTTTTTGGTTTCGGGTCATCAGCATCTGTGGGTTCTCGGAAGAGCTCTTCGTAAGCCCGACATAGATGAGATGTATCGTAGCAGCCCCGACAGCCACTCACCCCAAACCTTAGGCTCTAAACCTCAAACCGTAAACCCTCAACCCGAAACTTGAACCGAATTTAGCAAAGGGGCCGCAGCGGCTTCAAGATGTTCCGAGGGTGTATTCGCATAGTCGTGTAAGGACTAGTCAGAGGATGTTACTGCTCACCAGCACCCCCCTCAAGTGCCCTTGAATAGAGCCCTTATGGACCTTAACAGTGCGTACTGTAGGCTATAATTTGAAACGCTGCGCGTCGTCCGCCTCGGCCCGGCTGTACGCGCATGCGGCGAGTGGCTACTATCTGCAGCAAGCTCTTGTAGGAAAAAAGTAACAGTTGGAATCGCACTTATAGTAAAAGTAATGTTCATAGCAACACGACGCAGGATGATTGTGAGTAGTATTAGTAGTGGTAGTATCAGTACGAATTTTGGTGTCGTCATTCCGAAACACTGGATACCAAGACTCTCGCAAGCGGCGGGATGCCTTAAGTATGGGCCGTTGAGGCTGTGGATTTCGTGGGCGTCTTGGATTAGGGAAGCATCACAGCCTTTTCAACCATGTTACTCCGCCTATCCGGGGGGGCAGGGCGGGGGAGGGGGGCGTCGTGCTTTCGGGTGCAGGTGTTGTCCGGGCTTTGAAAGTTTTTCAGGCTGGGGTTAGGGTGGGTTAGGAATTCAGGTTTGAAACCCGCTTGGTACTGCAGCCTTAAAGGCGAGCCCCAACACATAAAGATGCTACATTGCAGTCCCGTGTCGTCGAAGACTCCAAAAATCTCGCACCTGTGGAGGGTCGGGAGGGAAGGGGGGAGGGGGGGCGGAGGGGGGGAGGGGGGGGAGGGGAATTCACCGCCGTACCTTGGAGCTCAGTGACACGTTTCCATTTTTAAGGGGGGCGGGGGGCAGTGGCCCCGATTTTTGGTGGGAACCTCTGACCGCTTCGGCCGGGGCCGAGGCGAATAAAGGGGTAGTTGGGGTGTTCTGGCAGACCCTAAATACATCTCTCAGGCTTGGCCAAAGCAGTTTAATCGCGGCGTAGCCTCAGCTCTGTCCCGAAGCCCTGAGATAGCAAATGGGAGAACTTTTAACTTTCTGGCCTTGTATTTTATTTGGTCTGTACTGTACCGGGAAGCTTGACCTTTGTGGGGGCCTGTTATCCTAAAACCTAGCAAGCATCTAAACCCTCTGTTTTGCATTCAGGGTTTAGTAGTTTAGGGCCGTTTAGGGTTAAAGGTTTAGGGCTATTAGGGTTCTAAAGGCGACGGATACATGGATTCGTCGCTTACGGGATAGCGTTTCTCCAACCCCTAAGACCCCCTACAAAGCTTCACGCTAAACTTCCTAAACCGACTGGAGGCCTGAATTCTAAATCCAAAACTCTCAACCCTGGACCGTACAATCCAACCCTAAACCCCAAAACCCTGAAACCTAAACCTCTAAACCCGAAACCCTAAACCCTAAACCTTGAGGGAAAAAACCCTAAACCTTGATCCCTAAGAATCAAAGCTTACTCTAGACTCTATCAAGTCATGCCGCCAGGTCCTGGCATTGTCGAAGCGATAGCACTTCTGTGAATCCACGGATCCTTGCCTTGGGAGTCGAAACTCTCTTGGTACACTCTCAGGGGTTTATTCCTAAGTACGTGAATTAGATCAAAGAATCCGGAAATAGAAGAGCCCCGTAGAACACACTGAACCTGGAACTCGGACGTCTACCACTTTTCTTCGAGAAAAAACAGCCTTGTCGTGCCCGGGCATGGCTCCTGTGCGTCAGAGACATCAATCCACGCACTCCCCCTTCGCTCCCTTCTCCAAGAAAAGAGCGAACGATGTGCAAAGAGGAAAACAAACAGTATGGTCTGTTGAGTGGACTAGTGTCTCTCTGTATCATGCCCTAACACAATCAGCTCGGGACAAAAACTGAGTCGAAAGTCATCTCGATTCCGAATCCCGGTCTCATGCCGGAATCCTTCTTAGAAGGAAATTCGCGAAGAGATTCCCAGTATCCCATAATCACACTATCGAGAGCCTCAGAGTTATTCCGACCTCCGCCCAGAAAGCTATCTTCCGTGACAACATCCTAGGTCCTAGCTTTCACCGGATTCACTCTCTGCTCTTCAGGCTCAAGGCTCTCATGCTCGACTTTACCGTCCTATGTTCCTTAAAAAGGGGAAAACTGCTCCTCTTCTGGAATACGACGAAGAAACTCAGTTTGATTCCGAAACCTCACTCGACCTCTCTAACCTGGTAAGGTAATCCCCAACTAACCAATGGAAACCATCCTGAACCTCTTCGTCATATTCCTCTACGTCGACTTGACAGCCAGATCTCCAAAACTCAAACAGGATCCTATCACGATTCCGCACACTCGGATCTAGCGGCAATACGATCACCTGAAACTCGTCTGTCTGGCACGCACAGTCAACAGAGGGCTTCTTACTCCTACAGCAGCTCCTCCAGAGCATCTTTCCGATTTCCCAGATCGCAATCAGGACAACACACCCCAGCACGTAGCTTAATGTAGAACCATCACACCCATAGTCACCTAGATCCTCTACCTCGCCACGAGAAACCTGGGACACGGCCTGTGAGGCACTACACACTAACCCGGTGGAAACCTCCGAAGCCTCAAACTCCGTTGGCACCCTGCTCGCACTAGCACCCTGAACCAGAACCCACCAAACAATCAATACCCAAACAATCATGCGCACACATGCCGGATTGAGCCAAGAACCCGCGCGCTCACTGGGAGGGTCATTCGAGGAGCCTGGTCTTCCATCTAAAGGATGCGAGCGCGCACTCATTGAGAGCGCAGTCCAAACACCAGTCTCCAAACCTGTAACAACAGCCTCTACCTCTTCGCAGGTCCATCCTACAAGGGGTACCTCAAAGGTGTCATCAATATAGTGCACTAGAAGGCATCCATCCCGGGCTTCGTAAACAGTGGTAGGCACCCCGCTAGCCGGCGACATAACAGGTTCACCTGGAGTCACTAGCAGCACCTCCGGATCATCAACTGTAGCCTGGGAGCCCTCGGTCAGCACTGAAGGCTCAGTAGTGGAGCCTTCGGAACTATACGAATCGCTATCGTCCCCAAACACTTCCTCAGCGAGTAACCCATACTGAACCCGCTGAATCCTAACCTCCGGTTCGGGATTTAAAGGTCGCTCGTCAATGGTCGGATCATCTTCCCGGTCTTCAGCCTCTACAGGGTTTTGCTCAGCAAACGGAAACTCACGGATTCCATTCTGAAAATACGCTTCCGCTGCATCCCTAGTCTGTCCTCCATCTGCATAAAACAAAGGGCCCGTAGCTCTTAGCCACAGGATCGTTGCATGGAGCGAGTGCTCTAAAAACCCTCGTGCAGCAAACCGAATGGCCCTAACTTCTCCAACCCTGATGCCCAGAAAGGATAAGAGCTCAAAACCGGCAACAGAGAAGATCCTCCAAAGATAATGTGCCCTCACTCCAGGAGCCCAAACTACATAAGGAAATCCTAGAATCGACCCTCCAGCTGCTTCCCCGACTGGCCCTTCCACATTCGGCGGCTGACTCAAAAGGAATGCCTCAACTGATTCAAGCCATTGTGGTCCCTCATACTGCCAAGCATTTGGACCCTGTCGTAAATGGTCAGCTAAAGCCCCATAAAGTCCAAATCGCACTGCACTGGAAGCTGCCCGGACGGCCAACCAAGTACGATCCCGAATGCCTAGCAAGGCTAACAAAACCTCTCCAACGCTAGAGAACAACTGAAGGAGAAAATGCACCCTGAGCCAAGTTCTTACAAGCGGCCATCCTTCTAGGGACCCTTCAGTAGGTAAATAATCTTCGTAGCATAGCTCCGTCTGCTCAAAAGGCAACGCCTGCATGCCATGTGACGAGGAACTCCCCCCTACCTGGACCCTCGGTGTTGGAATCTCCGAATCAAAACGACTCCCCCCGATCTGAGCCCTGAAAGACGAGTCAAAATGGACCTCCTGGGACCTGGCACTTCCTAACGGAACACCTGCATCTGAAGGACCTGGAACCTCGTGAGAACCGGCACTCCCAGACTGAACTCCTGCATCTGAAGGACCTGGAACCTCGTGAGAACTGGCACTCCCAGACTGAACTCCCGAATCTGAAGGACCTGGAACCTCGTGAGAACTGGCACTCCCAGACTGAACTCCCGAATCTGAAGGACCTGGAACCTCGTGAGAACCGGCACTCCCAGAGTCTCCAACCCCGGGATTAATCCTAACAGGAATCCACTGGAGCCCACCAGCTCCCGACACCGCCCTAAGTTCTATCGTCTGCCCCTGATTTGGGACATCCCTAGGGACGTTCCCTGTGTTCATTACTAGAAGCAAAAGACGAATCACTGAATGCCTGCGCAGAGCTACAGCTGCACAACAGAGATGCATCCACTCTACCGCTTGCGCCCCCAGGTACACTGCAACAGTCGTTCCATGGTTCGTAAACAGATCTACCAACGACTCAAGTCCTACACCCGTCCCGGCGGCGCAAAATCGTCCTTGCGGGCCCTGAGATGACGACGCTTCCTCCCCAGACGAAGCACTTAAGTACCAGGAGGGAACTGGACCAAACCTCTGGAGGAAGTTAGGCGGATCGACTACACCCCCGGCTGCAACCTGCTTACGAACCTTCGCCCGTTGGAGGAACGTTAAGCCAGAGCGACGCTCGGCTTCTTCAAGCTTCAACTGCGCCTCGCGCCACTCCTGCTCCGAAAACTCATCGTCATCATCAGGCTCCGGTGTAGCAGCTGGACCCTGCTCCGGGGCATCGTCGCATTGGACCGTCCCAACACCATCAGAATCCCCATCGCAGTCCGGAGCCTCTGACCCAACGAACCACCGACCTACCCTAGAAAGACCACCCTGAAGTCCACCTCCTGAGTACCACCACCCAACCACGGCTACACAGCCTACAGTCACTAAGCAAGCCAACACCCAGACAAACCACCCCTGAGCTTCCGGAAGGCCATGGGCAGGCTGACCCCTCACACGCGGAATCACTGCCAACAAGGCGAGGCCTGCGAGCAGTTCCGCAGGAGCAACTGACGTGCTACACATCCCTCGGCTTAACACCCGAGCCGATGCTACCCCCGCGGTATCAGCCCTGGCCTCCCTAATATTAGCTAAACTTAGCAAATGCATGATTCGGGACCGACTAAGCGGTTTGGTCCCAAGATCCGCAATCTGCTGCATTCCTGGGATGTGCGACACGCGCAAAACTCCTGCAGCCACTCTTTCTCGGGCGGCTGTGGCCCTCATTCTAAGGTGGCGGTTCCTCCATGAGGTCCCAACCTGGTCGAAACTTCTCAACGATGCCTCGTTGTCGCTTAATAGTGCTATCGTAGAGTCTGCCTCTATGAGCTCGTCCAAGAGCGATTGGATGGATTCAGACAGTTGGACCGCATGCACACTGCACACCAGCTCCGCCTCCGCAGAGGATAGAGTAGTGAAAGCTTGTCGCGTCGTTTCCCAAGCAATCGGAACACCCATCCATAGAACAATCAAAGACTGCATCGATCGATCACCACCAGGGCTATGGGAAGCGTCGGAGTACACTTCTAGAACTTTCTCAGATCGCGGCATCAAAAGCAAACCGTGGTCTGCAAAGGGATTCCCTACCTCAAAGGGAACCACGATTCCAAACTCTGCCGTGGACCTAAGATACTTCAAGGTCTGCAACCCAACACTGATGGAGATCTGTGGCGCCTTCGTCGCCTGTTGCCCGCAGCGTGACACTGCGTATGAAATATCCGGTCGAGTTCTCGTAGCAACCCATAAAAGCGCACCCGTAATGGCTTGAGCTTCCTTAACCTCGGAGGCCGACACAGAATCTGGAAGATCAGGGTCCGTCCACTTAGAGATAGGCACCGCCGCATCCTCGGTAACATTGTATCGTTGCAGCAGTTCGCGAATATATGCCACTTGCGATAGCCGATAACCTTGAGAAGATCGTGAAATTTCCAAACCGCAAAAAGTAACCGCCGACTCCTTGATCCACTCCGGCTCGGAAGTCTTCCATAAATCCCGCAAAACCTTGATGAACTGGAGGGCCAAACCGGGCTCAGCAAACAATGCCAAGTCGTCCACATAGACTATCAAAACTCCCTCCACATCACCAAGCCCCTCCTTGGTGTACTTCCTCAAGACCCAGAGGGCGTCGTCGGATTTCAATTGCACCAGGTGGTACTCTCCTCCAGCATACGGAATCCGCATCTTCTCAAACTCGCCGTCCCGATACCTGCCCCAATCCCGCGGGGAAGTCGGCAAACCATACAAGGCCTTCCTAATCCACCAACGGTCCTCCTTCGACAGGATTCCCAGCTCAACCAGGAAGTGGGGCGGCTTAACAATAATACGCTCCTCTGTGCCCTGATGCTCTGCCCGGATCGGTGCGTATAGGAATGCAGATTTTACATCTATCGTAACCCCTACCCAACTAGGATGACGGCCAGCAAACACAACCGCAACTTTGACCGACAAGGATTCAGCACCCGAAGCGTACAACTCTTCCCGAGTTAGCCCTAACTTGTCTGTGGGAAGGTAGTTACCACAACACACCGCGCGGCATCTTCGTTTGCCCGTGCCCGCCTTACGGGTGAGCACTGCCTTCCCAGGCAATTGGACAATTGAGACCCCGTCCTTTACCCATTTATCTACATCAGCAGCTGAAACCCTATCAACAGCCTGGTTAGTTTGTTCCAAGCTCACTACTTCTTCCTTCGCTGGATCTCGCCACTTAGCTAACTCCTTCCTGGCTTCTGACAAGCTAACGTTGTGGGTCTGTAGGAACTGATCACTGCTAGGCTCAGGCTGACCCCCCAATGGTACTTCAGCAACCAAACCCTTCAAAGATCCCAAGCGCTCACACTCGGCTTGATTCTCGACCAGAACCCACTCCAACCACTCTTTCTTAGTCTCCTCAACCTCTAGCTGCGAAGCCAATTGTAGTAAATGCTCCTCATCGGATAAGGCGTTACTCAACTCAGCAGAGATAGCCTTACACAGCCTAGCCGTGCAAGCATGCCAGTCAATCCAATCTTGAGGCTCAGAGTCCTCAAAATCCTGAGCCGGCCAATCAAATTCCCAGGACTCCTGCTCAGTTCCCGAAGGGTCTACATCTAAGGCTGAGACGTTAGCACCCCATCCTACCTGAAGGCAATCGCTACCCTTATCCAAGATGGCGTCAACCTCCTCCAAAGGGAACCCTAGCTTCTCCAGCGTTTCACGGTGATGGGCCAGGGTATCCTTGAAATCCCGAGGGACAAAGGCCGCAATGACCCATCTTTCCCCTCGCCATTCCTCAGACCCATGCCATCTAGTCCCGTCAAACACTGCCGAGCCCTGCCGAAGATCATGAACAAAACCAGCCCGTTCTTCTCCATTAGGAAGAGCCCTCAACACGGTACCCTTATCTTCCTCGATCCACAGACCTCCTCCGCGAAAGTCCCCAAAGGCCTTAGCCACAACCGGAAAACCCTTAGCATTCCTGAGGTCCCGATGCATCGGCATCCTAACATTATGGGTGATATAAAGTGTGGTCCACCCACACCCAAAAACCCTTGACCTCAAAAACCGATTCAGGTACTCCGTGAAAACTGGACAACCCAAGGCAAAAGTAGAAACCCCACGGAAGCCTCCTACAGCATAAAGGCCACACATCATAGCCCTTCCCAATCGGTAAACTAGAGGTCGCCGTGCTACCGGAAGGTCCTCAGCAACCTTTTGCAACACCCGCAAACAATCCTCATCTGAGAACTCCCCCCGGTCTAAGCACCCCTGAATCCACTCTCGCACTTCCAGGCTCGGAACCTGGGACTTTTTAAGGGCAAGCTCAGTCGTATCCTCCAAACCAAACCCCCCAACCTCAAGTTCCTCACCCAGCCCTTCATAGCCTATAGTCCCATCTAACCTACCAACTAGTCCCTCGCCCACACACCAACCAGCTTCAGGAAAACTCGAAACAAAGTTTTCAACTTGAACCTGACCCACATGCCCATAAGAGGACTCCCCCCCATGCGCAGCATGGACGTCAGTCGGCTTGGTGGCCTCAGGCGACCTAACCGGCAACGAAGCAGCAGCTAACACCCTCACAGCGAAACCCGGCGCGCGGGGGGAGCGCTTGCTTGTCAGCCGAAACTTAGGCTTACTTACGCTAACCCCGCCGGACCGCAAAGGATACACCGTATTAGTCAGCAGCACTTTACCCTCAGAACCCGTAGTCTCATCCCCCGGAACCCAAACCAAATGCCCTCCAGGCGTATCCGGCGCAAGCCCCAAGTAAGACCCCGAGATTGTCCTAGTCTTCCATTGGGCATCATAGCCCGTAGTGAACCGCCTTCGCCCATGAACAGGCATAGCGAAAGGGAGAAGCGGCACAGGCTGACGCCCGAGAAACTCACTCATCTGGCACCAATTGCGCTCCGACGCATGCAAAGCCGCTAAAGGCCAGAACACAGGCGGAAAACGACCTACCTGGAGTAGCTTACGTACGGCAGCCTTGATGTGCTGTACTGCTAGTTCAGCCTTATTACCAGCCGGCGCATCCCCTGGTGTAAACGACGCATGAATGCCCTTATCCCTTAACCAAGTAATCAACGCGGCCGACTTAAGCTCCTGGGCTCGATCAGCATGATAGCGTTGCACTGGATAGCCAAAAGCCTCAAGCCTGTTGATGATACGTTGTATCTGACCTAGCACCTCTCGCCCTTTCTTCGTCCGAAGTGGCGCCGCTAAGAACAACGACCGATACTTAATCGCAGGCTTGGCCACCCCTGAATCCGCAGGCCCGGAAAGACCACCCTCGGCTTCGGCTTCAGGCCGCTTACCTTTAACCCTGTGTGTCACAACCTTAACCTCAGCCTGAGGCGCAAATAACTCAGGAAATAACTCCTCATCAGACGAGCCTACCCGGGTCATTTCAGGCTCCACATCATTTGGGGCCTCAGAAGGGGCATAATCCTCAAGGTCTGGATCAATGGGCTCCTTTCCTTCTGCAGCCTCCGGCAGGACAGAAGGAATCGTATAGCAACAGACCAGCAGATGTCGATAGCCTAAGCCCTTATCCCGTCCCGACGCAACAGCATCAAAACTACGCCCCGGAACAAACGGCCCCGCTAAGTCAAAGCTAGCTGAGTACACATTTGTAAACCCACTTCTCCAATGAGACCTCTGGCGACCCTGAGCCCCAATGCAAATTTCGCATCCCCGACGGTAGGGAACATGGTCATTCAACTCATGCTGGGCCTGAGCCTGACTATCGGTAAGCTTAGCAAGCAAACACCTCCTATCAGACACCTCAGGTTCCCTACCGCGGTCAACTTGCCAGGAATCCCAATGCTTCTGCACAAGGTGTCGTACCCGGGGCAACCATCGAGAAGTCCCATGATCGCGACCCCATACAGGCGAATCCACACCACCACGGACTTCCCGCAACGAACCCACCTTCAGCTTATGCAACGACTCAAACAGGAACCAAGCTGAAGTCATCATCTTAACCCGAGTCGACCCTAAACCCCCCGCAGTAACCTGCTTGACGTCTACGACATCGAGGCTGTACGCCTCCACAAACGGCTCCCAGAGCCCTGGCTCCACGCTTGACCCATCCGGGAAGCAGGAATCACTGACCCCCACTCCCGACGAAGCTTCCCACGCGATAAACACCGAGGAACCCTTAGGGCCCCTGTCAGCCCTGGAGCTTAACCTTTCCGCAGCACAACCCATGGCCCACTTAACGAGCTCCTGGGGATCAGTGATTCCCTCTGGTAACAGCTGCTCTCGTGGCTCGGCTAAATCACCCTCACATTCTGCGACCTGGCCATCCTGAACCGCCTGGGCCACCGCATAAAGCAACACAAACCGAAGGTCCAAAACCAGCCTCTCTTCGGCGTCTCCTTGACAGGCCTTCGAACCTTCCCCAGAAACTCCGTCACTCGGCTCATTTACAAAGCCACCTACAACCCCCGATAGGGTCCAACGCAGTAAGTGACTAAACACACAGGCACTCCCAAGACCCTTTTCAGAATTAGGAACCCGAAGTACCCTTCCAGACTCTTTCCACCCACCGGGTCGGTCCGAGCAAGAAATCAGTACAGATTCAGAACGTCCCTTGTCAAGGGACCGGCGCATCCTTCGGTTCCACGGAAAGTCAGCCCAATCAGGATGCTCCGCGGAAGCCGATTGCACACAGGCTCGCGTAATCACACTAGTGGACACTGAAGGAAACAAGCTTCGCAGAAAGGCAAACTGAGAACCTTCATCCAGGCCTCCCCTTGCACTTCCAATCACCCTTTTCCTAAACCAGTCCCGGACACACCTCCTATCTATCTCCTCCGGTGGGTCAGCAATCCCAACCTTACCCAAAAACTTTCCTTCCCTAACCAACAACTCGTACTTCTCCAACAACCTCAAACCTACCTCCCTTGGTATCAAAGGGCAACCCTTCACCACCTGCACAGCAAGGCGTCCCTCTTTAGGATGTCGAATAATGCAGCCCCGCTTACGCCACGAAATGGCAAACCCTAGCTCCACCAAATACATGGCTGGCAGTATAACTTGACAAGGTCCCGCATGAAGCAATGTGCCATAGCTATTCACCCTCAACTCCGTCCCTCCGCTCGCTAAGTCGACCTTGATAACCTTGCAACCCTGAATCTCATCATTGGTCGCCGGCCGCAGTGCGTTAGTCGCACCACTGTCGACCAGGCAGAAAAGCGGGTCCGACGCGCTTGTCAGGGCACTTTTAAGCCAAGAAGGGTCCACACTAGGAACTTCAGGTCTAAGGGCCTTAAGGGTAACCCCCTTAAGCAACTTCGCAGCCTCGGCTAGCAATGCTTCCTGCGTTACTTGGGTTCCTGTCCCAGCCGTGGCCCCGGATGCTGACGCCGAATTTCCGTCACCCCTCGATTCTCCTTGCTCCGTAACCCCTTTCGCCTGAGCCGCCTTGGCCTTAGGCTTAGCCTTAGGTGCACCCTTTGCAGCTGGACTAGGAGACTTGGGAGAAGAATCCGAGGTTGACTCCTGGACCACACGATGCTCAGCCGGCACAACTGGGCAGTCAGGACGATAATGGCCCGACTGTCCGCAAGCAAGGCAACGACTCTCTTTCCTCGCTTTAGCCCTATCATGCTTAAACATACACGAGTCCCCAAACCGGCACCCTGAAGCGTCGCTAAACTTATGGCACAATGCCGTCCCATCCGCAGCCTTACCTTTGCCCTTGCCCTTTCCTTCAGAACCTCCTGCATTCGCGGCCGCTACAGACGCACTCGCACCACTTCCAGCAGCAGGAGATGTTGGTGATGGGGCCGCAGGCGGTCTGGGAACTGGTGGCGTAGGAGCAGGGGTACTCATGGCGGCAGTTCTAGTCCTCTTATCTCCGCTGCTGGACGACTCCACCAAAGCTGCAGCTTCACTCTCAGCTTGCAACAATCGCACAAGTTGTGTAACCCCTACGGTAGTAGGGTTGTAATCTAGTGCAATACTATGTCTGAATGAGTTAACCCTAAACCCGATCATTGGGCTATTCGCCAACAACGGCGCCGTGGCGGAGTCTACTCCCTTTAACAGAAGAGAAGCGTCAGGTAACGTCGCCTTAATTTCACTTGCTCTCTGTAACGACTGCTGCCACTTCCTAAGCACCTTTATGGCCTCTTGAAACCCTTTACATGGCTCAGGGGAAACCAATTGCCCTAGCAACTGTGCTCTTTCACTCGAACCCCCAGGTTGATAAGCGCATAAAATACGGAACAAGATCGCCGCAGTACTAAGCCAACGGTTCGTAATGATGTCATCCCGCACCGAGTTTGGAACCGACGCCAAAAGCAAGGTAACCGCCCTCGATTCTACACGCTGAAACTTATGGGCATCAAACGCCGCAACAACCGAACTGGGATCTAGTCCTAGCCGTCCTAGCGGGTCCGCCACTAGCCACCTAGAATACCCTTGATGAGCCGCTAGCTCTACCGCACCATACCATACATCCGCCGAAGGAGAAAGGCCCATAAAAATCTGCTTAACTTGCGCCAACCAGTTTCCGCATACTATGGCCGAGTTGGCTAGGTCCGCTTGCGCCAACTTAGGGATCTCACTTATGTACTTAGCGGGTTCTTCAGGCCTAGTTTCCCCAGAACCCGACCCTTGCCCTGGAACCGAGCCACCAAGACCATACACCCCAACTGCAGGGTAACCCCCAGAACTCAAACCCGAGCGTAATCCTGGTTCCATCCCTCCCGGTAGGTATCCGAAGGTCCCAGACCCTGGTAAAACTGGTCCCGGACCCGGTGGGCCTGCAAGCATCCCTGGAGGCGGCCGCGGCGGGGCCGGAGGCGGTAGCGGCGGGGGTCGTATCACCGTGCCACCAGGTGACAAGGGATACCCATTAGGGTCAAAGGCAGGACCGCTAACCCCGGACGACCTTGGAGTCTCAAAACCCAAAGCCTCACTCGCAAACTGCCTCATAGACTGCGTCCGACCCTCACCTTCGAGACCACCCCGAAATGGAACCATAGCAGAAGGTGGACACCCCCCCGAACATTGCTGAGGCTGCCCCACAGAACCCATGTCTAACGCAAGGGCACCTTCACACCTCTGAATAGCCTGTGGCCTCGGTACTCCCGCGGCGGGTAGAGGATTCGAGTTTACATCTGCCCTACCTAGGTACCCAACATCACTCTTGAAACCCGGGAAATCCGGAAACCAGGCACCTTCAGGAGGCACCGCCTGTACAAGGGACTCAAAGCCTCTTCCAGGCCCTGTCACCTGGGATCCAAAAGGCATCGAAAACGACATTGGCGAGCCAGCAGTCATTCCCATGTCACCTTGCGTGCCGCTGTGCCAAGAAGAATGCGACCGGAGTTCCACTTGCTCCAATCGCCGCTTAAGGGCACGATTCTCCTCCATCATCTGTACCAGCAACGCTTCGACATTCAGGGAGGACCTTTCCTCAGGAATGAGCTCATCATCCCCATGTACTCCGGCCTGACCAGATGAAGTAGTCTCCCTCGGACCCTTCCCAGCCTCTGCAAGCTTAGCACCCTCCACGACGCTCTCAGCAAATCCGGCCAAAGCTCCACCATGCCAGTCCGCAGTCACTGCCACGTCCTCGGCGCCAGCCGAAGGTTCCACCCTCGCTATCCTAGGGCCTGTAGCCCTTTCCAAAGGTTCAGCACTTCCTTCACCCCCAGTCGTTTCCGCGTAATTGGGTTCAGCCCCATTGTCACCAACCCAATCTCCTTTCGCAGTACGATCTCGGGTAGCAAGGATTCTTGCTTCATCCTCATCTAGCGATAGGGGACGCTGCTGTCGCAGAGCAATCTCGTTCTTGACCTTTTCGCTGTGAAAGGGACTCGCGGACATACCCGCACCAAGGGAGGGACCTGGTCCCCCACCCTGCTCCAGGGTATTGGGGGATGCTTCCCCCTGATAAATAGCCACCGGGACTTCAACATCCCCAGCAGCCCTTTGTCCTTGACTCAAAGCTGTCCTGTAATCGTCTTCCAGACGCATGCCCGTAGCCTCTTGGTCTCCAAGCGGGGCGGAAGCTCTTCGGTTACGCACCATGGGATCCATGACGCAACACTTCTACCCCTAGCCCAGTACAAGAAACTATACCCAAAGAGTTAACAACCCTAAGCCGACTACGGCTGATAACCTACGTGAATTAGATCAAAGAATCCGGAAATAGAAGAGCCCCGTAGAACACACTGAACCTGGAACTCGGACGTCTACCACTTTTCTTCGAGAAAAAACAGCCTTGTCGTGCCCGGGCATGGCTCCTGTGCGTCAGAGACATCAATCCACGCACTAAGCCCTAAACCCTGAACCCTAAACCCTCAGTTTAGGGTTTAGAGGGTTCAGGATGGGCATCTAAAGATATAAGAGAACTACGGGGTTCTGACGAGGCACGCTCGCTCTCGAGTGATAGGCAACTGCACATCTCCATGGGCCTGATCCCCTATAGTCCCTTTGAGAATCTTTATAATACCCTGAGAGCCCTTACAGGAGCCCTTGTTATGATTGGTCTAAGGGAGCCCTTGTAGTACCCTCGAAGGGGCCCTTATATGCAGCCCCTGTGCTTTCCTTCAGAACCCCCAAAGGGCCCTGGTACTATCCGCACAATACCACCGCTTTAGCGCCCTTTGAGTACCCTGGAAGCCCTACAGTAAACCCCAGAAAGTTGGAAACAGGATTAAGGCCAAATAGTGCTGGGATTCCATATACATTACTCTTAAGGATTGAGGCTAGGGGGTTTCCAACTTTTGGGCTTCTACCGCAAGCCCTCAACCCTGTAAGGCCCAAACTCTAAATCACTCAATTAACCTGGTAGGCCTACACCTTAAACCCTTGAAGCAACCTTCCGAGGCCTAAACCTTAAACCCTTTAAGGGACCTTTCTAGACCTAAACCTTATTAAACCCTTTACGGGACCTTTCTAGACCTAAACCTCAAACCCTTTACGGAACCTTTCTTGGTCCAGGCTTTTGGGGGTTCAGGGTTAAGGGGTTGGGGGGATTTTGGGTTTAGGGGTTTGAGGGTCCAGCGTTTAGGGATTTAGGGTTTAGGGTTTAGGGTTGAGGGTCCAGGGTTTAATGTTTATTGCTCCAGGGTTCCAGATTTTTGTGATGTCTTTTTGGGTCAGGGTTTGGGCGCTTGGGCTGTACTGTTGGGGTTCTTGGTTCTTGACTTTGGTTCTAGGGTTCTCTAGGGTTAAGGGCTTTTAGGGCTCTTGGGCTTGGCTTCTTGTGGTTTCGGGTTTTCTAGGCTTAGGCTCTTTGGCCTAGGGTTTTGGAGCTCTTTGGTTTTTGGGCGTGCGGGTTCGAGGGCTTGTGGCAGAGCAAGGAAGCCTAGCGTCTCCGGTTGGTGCTGCTTACTAGGTCTAACCCTTAGCTATGGAATATATACTTTAAGATATAGTAGGATCCTTGATATGATGTAAGGAATATTCCTTAATTAATTAACGGCTGCTGGAGTCTGTGGGGTGTTTTGACACGCAAAGCCGACAGCCGACTGGGGCGAGTCTGCGACGGTTGTTCTTAGACAAGCTGTGCCAGAGGGCGCGCTATGGGGTCGAATTAAAAGCCAAGTTCAACAGGTACCCTGCCGGACTTGACAGGTTAACTGGCTAATTTATCATGGCCAGGCAATCTGAGGTACCAGGAGGCGGCAGCATGACCCTCGCTTAAACTGTCTAGCAGCTGAGGTTCCCAAATAGTAGCAGCATTATCGTGGCCCCTGATAGGTATCCCTAGTTCAAGAAGTTCGAGATTAAGGCAGGGCCTACTGTTGGACACACAAACCGACTGGTATCCTCGGCACCAAACCAAGGGTTTAGGCTTTGGAGGCTGATGGTTTCCCAAGTATGAATGCAAATAGTATGAGAAAGCCACCAAGACCAGCAAGGTAATAGTGGCGAGTTGAGATTCAATAACTGAGTCGTACATCGCAGATCGTAGCCTTACGACCCGCCAAAACAACCCTACATCCCTAAAATTTCGCCAAGGATCCTGATCACAGGCGCCGTCAAAAATGCGGAGACACTGTCAGCATGTGCTCCTTTGATGCAGCTTCCTTCAGAATTCAACAGTGTTTCACTGTGCTTGATAGGATGGGCTAATGCCTCTATAGGAGCCCCATCAAGGCCAACATGCAGACTATGAAGGCACGCTGTTCGGCTCATTCCTGAAACCCGTCATTCCTCATGTCTTACTGTGCTTAAACTCCTAAATCCCAAAACCCTGAATGTCTGAGCCCCATCTCTGTCTCTATGTGTATGCATATTATACTTATATATATATATATATTATATATATACACATGTTTATACATGTAATATAAGTTTATAAGTGTATACACACCCTAATAATGTAATCCCTTCAGGTCTCTTTCTGGCGTTCAGGCCCCCTTTATTGGGGCGTTTAGGGTTTAGGGTTTCGGTCCAGACGGTTGTGGACAGATGCGGACGGCAAATTGTGGATTCGGGTATAGGGAAAAGGATTTAGGGTTTGAGGGTCCAGTATAGGACCCCTCAGGAGGTACTGCCCCCTCTCTGTCACGTTTTGTTAGTATGACCAGAAAATTTATGGAGACTATGTGATCCTTAACATGGGCTGTTGCTGGGGTGTACGGTCTGGTTCAGGGTCCTGGGTTCCCAAACAGTAGGGTTTCGGGGTGTGGGGCATAGGGTCCCGGATGCACACACCCCCCCCCCCCCCCATTTTTGTGAACAGTGCTGCTGGACTGCGAATGATGGACGAGTGCTTCTGCAGCCCTAAACCCCAAACCCTAAACCCTAAACCCCAAACCCCAAAGCCTAAACCCCAAACCCTAAACCCTAAACCCTAATCCGCTTTTTGTTGTCTTGCATGACTGTAGATATCTGTAGAAGTCTTCAGGCGGTGGAGTCTTTGAAATTGCGTGAAAGGTTTCCCGAAGTGTTATCCCAAAGGCTCCATGTACCTTCATAGTAGATACTTGGGCCTTAAGGGGGTCCCTATATAGGTACTTTAAGGCCTAAGTATTTACTATATGGGTACATGGAGCCTTAGGGTATGCTTGAGGAGTTGTCACGCTGTTGGGGTTCGACAGTCGTCGGGCTCAGATGGTTCATGGAGTGAGAGGTTTCTCGGGCCGCAGGGTTTTGACAAGCGTCGAAGGAGAGACTAGGTGTTTAGGGTTTAGGGTTTAGGGTTTGACGGTTTAGGGTTTAGGGTTTAGGGTTTAGGGGTTTAGGCCATGATGGCATAAACACGGACTTCATACCTAACGTGTTCGCAGACCCTATACCCCAAATTCCTTCGCTCTGCGTCTTGAAACCAGAGCCTGCCCATAGACTCCAAAACTCCTTAACTAAGGAATGTACGTTAAATCGTAATAGAGGGATCTTTATTGATGATTATGGTTTAAGGTATATATTCCTTAACGGGGGTTTGGAGTCTCTGGCTACATCATATGTTATAAGAAGGTCTCTTGTCTTTTGGGGTCGCAGGGGTGGTCCGAACCCAAATGAAGTCTAGTGTTAGTGAGGTGGAGAGGCAAAACTTGGTAGGCTTTTGGCACGCTTGGATTTTCCCGTATTGGGGTCTAAGAGGACTCATTTACGAGTATTTTCCAGAGGCTGTATAAATGGCCAACTAGGAAACATTTGCCGACACACTGCCCAGGAGATCCTTCAGATTCTTCTCCAGGGCGTCCTCTACGTCGAGTGCGCTGTGGTGCAGACTGCAGATGAGACGAGAAAGCTCAGGCCTCGCAGCGTGTAGTATGCAGAGCTCGTAACAATGCCATTCCTCCGGGTTGCTGGTTTTGCGTATTGTTTCTTATAGTAGAAAACCCGCTCAGACCACCTTGTAATTCTTAAGGCGGAGAAGGCTTCGAAAGCTTTGAGGCTGTGCGACTCCCATGTCACGCCTAAATCCCGTCAGGAAGCTCCGCCGATCGTCAGGATGTACGGTTCAGGACGTTTTTTTGATATGGGTCCCTGAACCCTGGGCCTCAACCCTAAAGCCCTAAACCCCAAACCCTAAACCGTGAGCCTAAAGCCCTAAGGCCCGAAACCCTAAGCACTCAACCCTTGAAGCGGTAAGCCTGGCTTTGCCTGCGAGGTGTTTTGAGCAAGACACCCAGAGGCTCCAATATCCCTTAATTATGCAATACTCCTTAATACAATTATAATAGGGTTCCTACGGCTGATGGACAAAATCCTGCATCATAATAAGGAATATACCATAATTTCCATATATTCCCTATTATGGGTCATGCAGGATTTTGTCCATCAGCCGTATTATGATTTTTGAGATATTTTTTAATCAAGGGATGTTGGAGTCTCTGGGCTTGAAAGTGCAGTCATGAGATCGGAGCCTCCGTGTGCTCAGACCTTCAGGCGGTTGCACAAGTCCTGGTGAGAAAAGCACAGAGACTCCAATATCCTTTAATTAAGGAATTTTCCTAACGTCATAATAGGGATCCATCATAATTTGATTAAGGAATATAATTAAAGAACATTAAGGAATACACCTTGCATGATAGTAGGATCACTAATATGATGGGGATATTGGAGTCTCTGGGAGGATTTAAGGGTCAGGGTTTGGGCTTTTGGTGCTAGGGTTTAGGGTTTAGGGTTTTGCATGGCAGCTTCAGTCAAGCCTGGCTAGACTTAAGTCCAGCAGGAAAGAGGAATCTAAAGATCTCTGGTCACCAGTTCAGAGCTTTCGGACTAGCCATAAGCTCACGGCCGAATATATTGAAGGCCAAACCTTCGCACTGAAGCTTCGCAATGGCCGGCCCTTGGCAATGACAGACACCGCACTTGCGTCGTGCGACATGTCGATTCTAGTCGAAGTGCGTCTGCTGAGTGGCAAGACAGCTACGGTGAAAGCCGGACCGGAGGAGGAAGTGGGAGCATCTTCGTAGCTGAGTCAGTGCACTTTACATTTTTTGGGAGAGTATGATCCCCTATGGAACTGAAAGTGTACACTTGGGCTTATGAACTCAACTAAGGCATTAAAGCGCCGGGCACAGATTGCACTTGGAGTCGGCAAAGGGCAATTGGCAGACTCGTTCGGAAACGTTCTG